AGTTTGACATACCTGGGATAGATAAAGTTAGGTTTTTGCTCTGGATCTTTAAGCTGTTTGAAAATTATGGATAATGTGTAAAAGATGACTCAATGAAATAAATCAGTTTAAATGACTTTCACTATTTCTAACACAGTGACTCTGTCTGTTGTAGGCTTTGGCTTTGTGACTTTTTTTCAAATGCAAATTACACCTTCAGCTTTATTAGAAGCATCCTCTTAGATTTACTGGTGACTTGGCTTTATGTCAGATGTTAACATGTTTTTATCTTCTTTGAATTAGAAAATTCTTGCTCAGTCATCTGTACGTTTATGTACATTAATTTTTGTAAAACTTAACATAAACTCAGCCATCTGTACACTTATGTACAGATGGCTGAGTTTATGTTAAGTTTTACAAAAATTAATGGGATTTGGAAAAACATGTTTTTCTTCTCTGTCCAGCTGGGACACAGACCATGAGCCAGTCTGAAAAACCAGAGGAGAAGAAAGCAGATGTGAAGAAAGAGAACTCTGACCAGCACTTTTCAACATCCTCTCAGTCGGACCCACGCGCCGTGGTTCTGATGGACCCCCATTCAGACCCCCTACCTCAGCTCCTGGACTTTGATGAGGCGCAGCGGCAGAGGGCATTCGATGGAAAGGTGTTCTGCTGCGGCATCTGTTTTTCAGACAAACTGGGTGCCGGCTGTCTCTGCTTCAAGGGGTGCCAACATGTTTACTGTAAGGTGTGCATGACAGAGTACTTTCAGATTCAAATACGAGACGGCAACGTCCAGTGCCTTAACTGCCCCGAACCTGAATGTACCTCACTAGCCACTCCGTCACAGGTAAGAGCAGCAGATTAATTGTGAGTTTTCGCTACGTTTTCAGTTCACATCAGCAGTTCTCTCGCATCGTGGCTTTTTCATTCAGGTGAAACAGCTTGTGGATGAGGAATTGTTTGCCCGATATGACCGTTTGCTCCTTCAGTCAAGCTTAGACCTCATGGCTGATGTCGTCTACTGTCCCCGTCACTCCTGTGGGATGGCTGTTATGGTGGAGCCAGACACAACCATGGGCATTTGCTCGGCTTGTCAGTACGCTTTCTGCACGCTGTGCAAGCTGGGATACCACGGTGTCTCTCATTGTAAAATAACAGCAGGTAACCACACAGTTAACTCCTGTTAAAAATAGTTTGCAGGAGTGAAACTTTGTTAGAAAAGAAAAAGTAGCACATTACAAATAAGAGGCAAATGAGAGACAAGCAGCTGGGTTGGAGCTGTGGAAAGACTGAAATGAATTACATTGAAAAGATGTGCCAGAGCTGAAATAAAATGTACACAGATGCCAATAAACCCCCACTGGAAATCAGAAAATGTATTTTCTAACTGTCTGAGCTTCTGGTTTGTTCCTCAGATGATCTGCGTAGCTTGAGAGATGAGTACCTGTCAGCCACGCCTGAGGGCCAGAAGTTCATGGAGCAACGCTTTGGGAAGAGGGTGGTCCAGAAAGCGGTGGAGGAATCCTTCAGCAGAGACTGGCTCAAGGAGAACTGCAAATGCTGCCCCCGCTGTGGAACCAATATACAGGTGGATTATACCTCCCCCTAGTGGTTACAATGCTTTAAGACATCAGAACCTTTAAAAATGGTTCCATCCAAATTATGTCCGTTCACATAATGTTGCGGCACTTTGTATCTTTCAGAAAGTGGATGGCTGTAACAAGATGACGTGCACATCTTGTAAGCAGTACTTCTGCTGGCTGTGCCTCGGTGCCCTCAGCAAAGTCAACCCATACAGCCACTTTAACAACCCACACTCACCCTGCTTTAACCAGTAAGACACTCTTACCAAGTTTAACCACATTTATAGGCACTTTCAGTATGGATGGCTAAGAAGGCTCCACTAAATGCTGCTTTTGTTGCAGTAACATAATAGCTTGCTCTCTGCCAAGGTTCCTAGAATATTTTAAAGAAAAAACAGCCACATCATCATAATTGGTTTCTAATTCTTAAAATTGAGCATTTTATACACTAGGTTCTGGATTTCATTTAATTATATTTTGTATTTATGTTCCTCCATTTACAGCTTTTTTTAATCTAGCGACTTTTCAAATAATAAACCACTTTCTCAAGCAAATTTTCAGAAAATTGCAATGGCAGCATTATTGTATGTTATCCATGTCCTGTTCTGGTGAAAATGAAGTTCAACCATGTCTGACCAGAGGAGCTGCCTAAAACCTGTCATGTAGAACCCTTTTGAAGCTCACTGTACCATAAAAAAATGTTAAAGCTCTAGATTTGCTTACAAGCAAGTCTAGAGTGTGTCAAGTGTGTTTGTGCTGTCTGACTGTTTTGTCCTTGGCTGCTGCAGACTCTTCCATGGTGTCGATGTGGATGATGATGAATTCTGGAGCGATGAGGAGGACTGATGCCAACGCCGCCTCTCAGCTCTTCATCTAAATGCACTTTATTCTTCATCACATGGTCATAGGTTCATATTCGCTGGAACTGAAATGCCACCACAGCCACATACATCAAGTGTTTTGATGCTTGTCATGCCATTGAGAGGACAGGAAGACAATCAGCTATGTGAAGTGTTTATAGTCACAGTCATTGTATTTAAATTATACAGGTCTCATTATATGAATTAAATAAACAATATAGGTCTCTGAACAGATAGCAAACAACTGAAAGAAAAAAGTTTAGGATCTTTTCTGTTTGCCTTTACCTTTCACTAATAAGTTATCTTGGTTAGTGTTTGGTTATTGGTCTAACAAGGGTTCTGATTATGAAATCGTTATAAACATTAAATCTCAAGTCAGTGAAAGATTTGCAAAGTAAGGAATAATTTGTACTGTCATATAGATAATTAATCAAATAGACTATGTCCTGTCTTGTCTCATAGCAAATCATTTCTTTACATCATAGGCCTTATAACAACCAGCTAAATATGGAGAATCTACTGAATGTTTTAATTAAAAAATTGAATGACTCTATCCTGATATCCTGTCTCCCCATGTCAGAAATAAAACACAGCACCTTTCTTTTCAAATTCAAAATCAATATTAGTAATATTGCTGTCAAATGAGGTATGTCTCCAAAACAGAAATGTCTTTCTCTATAATGACAAAATCAAAGCACAGTAAAATTATGAATAGTTAGTGTAGTAAAGTTCAGTGCATTGGTTTCTTCGGTTTGCAGCTTGAACTAAATCTATAGTTTGTGGGCATGAAAAAACAGGTGCTTTTTGTAGAGTTTTTGGTTGGCTACATTAGATTTACTGTTTTTTTATTTAATAATGCCAAATAATTATACAGAAAAAAGAGGCAAAAACTAAGACATACCAAATGGTTACTTTATATTTCTGTTATAAAGGAACCCAACACAATAGTTTCAGCATCTTGTGTCACCGTTTGAAGCTGGTTCAGATTAGAACAAACAAATCTTGGTGCTTAGCCTTAAAAAGCATCTGATGGAATTTTGTTACAAGTTCACATCAACACTCTGTTCATTTCTCTTGTCAGAACCCAGAATGACATTCAATGCACTAAAAAATAAAAAATATTCCAATAGACATTTTGTGACCTTTTTCTTTTCAATGTAACACTGTTACTCTTCTTATTGTGTGAATGCTCTGAACACATTCTAACTATTTTTGAGTTCATCTCCACATATATACAGACATTATAGAGAGTTGGAAATCTTCTACCATCTGCTTTCTAAGCCCAACATGTCATTGTACATTTTCATCAGATTTCTTTTGTTTCTAATTTACCTCAGCTTCTTAAGATCTTGCATTCATCTTGAAATACACAATTTTCCCAGAAAACGTTCTGAACTGGTTGATAGATACCCAAAAAAGTTAGATTGCGTTAAGATTTCAAGTTAAAGTAATTTGACACAGCTTTTTAATTAATTTAAAGTAGTAAGGAAAAAATGTATTAGAAGCAGCTGGCTATTAAGCTGAAACTGTGCTGAATTTTAAACCAGCATGTCTTTTTCTAGACCCCATCTGTCCAATAAACAGTTGCTGCAGATTCAGTTTTAAAGAAAATAGCTGATTTCTTGATTCCACATGGCATGACATATATCTGCATATCATTCTTCACAAGAGCAAAATATAGTTTATTCATGGCTGTTATTTGCTTTGTATTGCACTGTTTAACCAAATTTTATAATAAAATATTATTTGACTGTTTGAAATCTATTGAATTATTGGAGCAAACTTGGACAGTATAACAAACTTCCAGAAAAATGCAAAACAAATGAAACACTGAGTTCCATAAATCAAAACTAAAAACCACCTGTTTGGAACAGTTTTTTAACCATTTTTTTGATGGGATTTTGTTGGCTATTGTCTTCATCTGAAAGTACTTCAACAGGAAACAGGGTAATCAGAGAGGGGGAGACAAGTGGCAAATGTTGCTGAGCCGGGAATCAAACCTGTGACCACTGCCACAAGACTAAGGCCTCAATATGTGGGTCATGCTTTGCCTTGTGCCACCACAGCATCTGTTTTTAAACCATAATTAATGAAACATTGAACAACATGTTTGATGTATATGATTTTGGTGACGCCCCTCATCAAAATGTGATTATTTTCTGGACTGTTTTCTTTATAACTTTGTAACATTCAGTTTTTATTATGTAAAGCACTTGAACCACTTTGGTGCTGAAATATGCTATTCAAATAAATATGATCGACTGATTGATAGCAGAACATGACTATCAGAGATAGGAGCAAAGCAGAATGAGGAGTTTTTGCCTTTGCGTTTGCCTTTTCTGGTGACATAGTTGGCATTTTGTCCTTCTTTGAATGATTAGATTAGCCCCAAGTTCCCAGCAGCACCTTGTTACCTGAAACATGACCCGTATTTACCCTGTAATCCAGAGGTGATGCTGTGGCTGAGAGGGAAACAATGAAACGTCAAAAGAACAAAGAGCCTCCGTTTTAGCTGAACCTGAAAAGAGACATCATTGTGTAATCTCTTTAGCCAGAGTTGCTGACTGTAGAAAATGCTTTTTTAACGGCCCCTCTCTCCTGTCCCCATCCCCTGACTCGTCCCCCCTCCTGTCCTTTTACATAGTCAATGAATGACTGATTGACTGGCTGGGCCTTTACCATGAAAGACTCCTGCACTCAGAAACTCAAAGAACCAGTACTGGGAGCACCAGGCCTACACAGAAACTTCCACACATCAGTCCCCAGTTGTTCCTTGTTGGTTCAGAGAAGCAGATCGGGACTGAAAGAAGCAGGTCAGTGAGTTTTGATGCTTACAGCGCTGCCGTCTTATGCTGAATTCTTAGAGCTCGACATTCAGCCGCGATTTGGGCGTTCTTTACCTATAAAATACATGAAATTATTTTTTATATGTTTTGCTCCGAATAGATTTTCACTTTTGATTATATTTTCATCCATCAAGACTGATGTATTAATTGTGACACACAAGTTAAAAGAGGAAACATTGAAAAATGAGATAACTTTTTTCTTTTTGCTTGTAAAACATTAAATTAAGACAATTTCTTTTTTTTTATGTAATTAGGATTACCAAAAATAATGACTTAACCTTTTGTATATCATCCTTCCACCAGCCGTTTACAATAAATTGTTTGAATTTTGAATTCATAATTTCAGAGTTAAAATTAAAGCTTTCTGATGGTCCCTCCAAAAAATTGTTTTTGTTTTTCCTACCCGGTTTTACAGCAAAGCTGGTTTGGATCATTGTTCATTGCCTCAGATTAGGATTTGAGGCACTCAAAGAAAGGGAAAGGTTTCCTCTGTGATGCAAACCAATGCATCACAGAGCATGCATAGGTTTCCAGAAAAATGCTTACATAAAATCACGTATGGCATTTTAGAGCATGTAAGCATTTAAAGAGAAAGTTATTGAAAATTCTCAAAAAATATATTTCCTATTGTTTTGGTATTTAGCAAGTATAAATGAATTCTAACTGACATAAAGCAAAAAAGGGAAGTCAGATTTAATATCTGACAGTGAGATAAAAAAGTTTTTGCCTTTTATATTTAGCGTGTGTAGATATCTTGTTTTGATTATACATTATCTGTTTGAGACTAATGCATTTTTTTAACTAATTTAGAATATCTAGATTTTGTATATCTGGAGTTTGGCTGAGACATTAACCGCTGTACCACTGCGATCAGAAGGAGACTGAACAGTGGGTCAAGGAGCACAAGGAGCCGTATGATGATTGAGAGTGACAGAGAGCTGTCGGCTATAGTTCAGGAGATTTGGGATAATGACGTCAACCGACTGAAACCTGGAAAAGACTACAGGATTTCTCTGCAGGTGTACCACACTCATAGATATCCAGATTAAGATACATCTGTTATATATGCACTTGTACCATTCTCACATTATATTTTCTAAACTGAAATACTCCCAGTTTAAAATTTACATGAATAATGAACATTGGTTAAAAGCAGTAGTTAAGGATCTTCATGGGTTTTTGAAGTGAAACATAAAGTGTGATCATTTGGTGATTTCTCTCTGCTGCAGGGCAAAGCTGGAGACAGTATGGGTGACAATGAGAGCAGCGACAGGGCAGGACTTCCTTTGTTTACATTTGTTGATGAAAATATTTTCAAAAAGGAGACATTTTTAGGTCAGTGCTCAAGCTTTTACTGCTACAAGCTTTCTGTTATGAAAACGTACGGCAGGACTTTTACATATGCCTTGTAATTACACATAGGAGGACCCTTTTTAATTAAGTGTGTTTTTAAAGTTTCACTGGGTTTTATTTATGGGTATCAGAATAAAGTAGGTTAATTAGTCATAAAAACTGACTATCTATAATTCATCTTCACAAATATGTTGTAATCTGCTAGTTTTTCACAAAAATCCTGGTAAAATACATGAACCTTTGAGGTTGGAAAGCAAAACTTTAATAGAAACATTTCCACCTCTAATACAACAGTCCAATTAACAAACATCTCAATTGCTGCAGTGATGTCATGCATTCCTGGTGGCAGGTTTGCAACAATCAGCTCCTCTTAAAGGGAAACCACACCACTGTTATTGCATAATCACACAGCATGCTTAGGTCTGCAGAAAGTGCTTATTTTCTTTCATATCTGATAACATTTTTATTTAAGAAGAGAGAGGTATTTCCAGTGGGAATTAGAGTCAGAAAAAGGCAAATTTATTTTTCTTGCTTATTCTATTTTCTGAAACTATTCAGCACTCAAAGGGTTGCTCTAAGGATTTCTGGTTGGCTGACTTGTTCTGTGTAATTTTTGTGTTTCTGGGATTGGACAGCTTTAAACATTACATAATTTTCTGTAGCACATATGGACCTAAAAATAATGGGAAAAAAACATTATTTAATTTTGCAGCCTTTATCTCCCTTTTGGACAACTATGAAAGTGACACTGGTGAGCCAGAGATTGTAACTCCTGAGGAAGTGGCCGAGAACCACAGGTTCCTGGATGCCATCATTCAGACTCGCACTATGAAGGTACTGGAAATGGACCATTACATCTGCAGTATGTAACTTTTATTTGAAAAATAGGCTTTTTACATATTTAACAAAATTATTATTATGTCATGACTGTATTGTATGAGACAGATAATCTGTAAAAGGTTGATTGCCTCCACTTCTTCTCTGAGCTACTTTTGCCATCTGAAAAAGTGCACCACTCTTGACCAAAAACATCCAATCAGAGGCAGGAGGAGGGTCTTAGCACTGTCAATCAATGCAACTCAGTGTGCTAATGGTGGAGAAACAATGTACCATTCCAGAAAAAGCCTTTATCCACTGTAATTGGTGACCATGCTTACAAGCCTTAGCAATCATGGTTGGCTATTTGGTGGTAGACCAGCTCTCGGCATAGCTGAGAGAAAGTGGGAGTGGGTGAGAATGAGAGTGATTGACAGCTCTAAGACCCTCCCCCTGGCTCTGATTGGTTGTTTCTGACTGAATGGCATAGAACTGCAGAGGAGGACTGGGAAAAGGCAGATGAGCTTGATTTTTTTTTTTTTTTTTTTTTTTTTACATAGAAGTTACATACTGCAGCTTTAAATGCAAACTGACAAAGCAATTTTTTTCAATCAAATTTTTGCTTGATAAGTTCTTTAAATCAATTAATTTTCATCAATCAGTATGGTTCAGTATGAATGAAATATGACAAAACAAAACACTTAAAATAAACTTGTACATAATGCTTTCAGATAGCTCATAAACACCTGGTGGAGAAGCAGCTCTCTCCTCAAGATGATACAGAATTCAAGGAGCAGCTCTACAGAATCTGGTTTGAACTTTATGCAAGAAGAGGATCCAGCAGGTGGGTGGTAACTGCCACAGCATCTAAATATAACTCCATACAAGGAATCTAGCAGCATGATGGCTGCCACCTCACTCAGAGAATATGTCTCAGAAACGTTCATGCCACCATAAAATACAAATATAGTACATCATTTCATAAGCAGTGGTTCCACAGTTATTTTAGCAACAGCTTAAAAATGTTTAGGTGATTCCATATGGTGTTTAGTTTTTTTTTTGCTGTTTAACAAAAAAGTAATCATTATAATAACATGAAGGCAAACATGTTACTAGTCTTATGTTCTTGTTTCTGCCCACAGACCAGACTCTTCAGGATTTGAACATGTGTTTGTTGGGGAGACAAGAGGAGGGCGGACTGTCATTGGTTTTCACAACTGGATCCAGCTGTACATACAAGAAAAGCTGGGTCACATTGATTACAAAGGCTACAGTGTCACTGCAAATTCTCCTCAGGTACAACATCCCCTTATGTATTGGTGAAAATTTGACTCCTATCTATTTAGATTTGTGCACATAACTTGCTTACTCCAACCTGTTCCCCTTTTTTAATCTTCAACGTAGCCTGACGAGAACAAACACATCCTGGCATTACAGTTCAGCTGGAAGAATGGCATAAAGCCCAAGGGCAGCATCTTCATCGGCGTCAGTCCTGAGTTTGAATTTGCCCTCTACACTCTCAGTTTCCTCACCTCACCAAATGAGCGCGTCAAAGTGCAGTTCAGTTTCTATGACGTAGAGATTGTCTGTCACCATTACAACCAGAAGCACATAGGCACCACCTTCCCTGTGCTACTTAGGTACAGGAATCCTCAATGAGATATAACCACTCAACACATGAGCTAACAAAGTGTCACAGGTACTGTTGCTGTCTTTTTCTTTTACACAAAGATACAATAAAAGTTTCAAGACCCATTCACATTTGTTTTTTTTTCTTTCTGTCACTATGTTTACAGACCTGCAAAAGGATTCATGTCCTTTCAGCGTCTCTTTTTATATATTTTTAAACTATAACCATAAATATTAATGTATTTTTTGATTTTATGATTGACAAGTTAAATGAGAATAAGGCAATAAAAACAGCAAAGTGAGACAAATATTTCATTTTGATTATATTTACAATATTATCTCTTTAATCAGACACAATAAATCTAATAATTAGAAAATAATTGCAAAACTGCTAATGTATAAAGAACTGATCCACTTCCAGGTCTCCCTCAAAAAGGAGATTTTGTCTCAAGGGACTTTCTGTAAAATAATGGTTAAATAAGTTTAAAAATCCACCTAAATTTTTTTGTTGCTGAAATTTGGCATACAAATAAATTTCCGTTGCCTATTTTTGAAAAATTATTATTATTGTTTTTTTTTTTTTTTTAGCTTTCTTTGGTCAGTGCCAGTATAATCTTACAAAAAGATTCAAAATTGGAGCAGCTGAAAATATATCTTCATTTTCCACCAACAGAGGGCGGTAGAGAGTTTGTTTTGGCGAATGACGTAAATGATTTGACGACGGTTTGTTAAGTTAGGGAAGAAACGGAAGCTGACGTGATTACTTTTCAAAGTTGAAATACATCTACATTTATTAAAAGTCGAAAATAGAACAAAATGTATGTGAAGAAGAGAAAATGGATAAAATTAAGCTAAAAATATGTAGAAAATATACAAACGGATATATTTTAGGCAGCACTGCAGTAGTCGTCAAAATCAACCGGAAGTAATGCGTGATCTGCTCTGTTTTACCTTAACATCACCAGCTTCCCTTGACAGAAGAGGAACAGTTTTCCATTTTGACTGTCGTATATTTTAGTTTACACAGTTATATAATTTTGTTTCGATTAGGCGTATTGGTGGTGTATTATCTGTTGGACTAACTACCGTTTGGAGCGGAATGGCGGAGTCGAGCGCCAGATATCAGCAGGTAGGTGAAAACACGGCTTCGTCTCAAATTGGCGTTAGCTGCACACTGTTAGCCACCCAAGTAGGGGTGTTTGTCTTATCTCGTTTTTTTTTTTAACACGGCTGTGTTTTATGTTAGGAAGATGAATATCAATCAAAGTGAAAGATGTTATTAGATTTTGTTAAGTATATCCATTTAGATGATAGAAACATGTTAAAACGATGCGAATGTAAGCACACAAGCTAAGACGCCCACCCAAACATCAGATTCGGAAAAGAAGTAAAAAGCTGTCCCTCTCTAAGCTACTCTAACCGGGAAATAAAAACTCACTGATATGACCTGAAGTCTGTACTTTAGAAAGAACATTACGATTTAATTTAAATTTGGCCTCAACATCAACTTACATCATGGGGTTTTCAAAGTTCTGTTTTTAAACAAGTAGAGCCTGAAAAAACAAACAAACAAACAAAGAACCAACCAAAAAAAAAAAAAAAAACAAAAAAAAAAAAAACAGAAACAACCAAAAAAAAAAACAAACAAACACACAAACAAAGAAACATCCAAAAAAAAAAAAAAAGAAACAAACAAACAAAAACCAAGTAAAACCTGAACTAGATTTTTCTACAAAGACTGTGGGTACGTTGAAACATCATATATAATATGCATAAATTACACAATTCGATATAATCGATATTTAGCTGATTTCTTGGTCACTTAGCCTGCAGATGTTTTACTAGTAGTTTGCCCACATTATGTATGAGTGACAGGTGTCCCTTGTATTGTTTCTGAGTCATGATTGTCTATTGTTTTTTTTTGGTGATTGTAAATATTGTTAAACCTACAGATTGTTTTAGTCATCAAGGACAAGGTGTGGTAATCATTCATAAGAAAACTGCAGGTTAATTTTGTGTTCTTCTGTCCTTCATACAAACAGAAAAAACTATATTTTAAAGTATATACACTGCTCAAAAAATAAAGGGAACACTCAAATAACACATCCTAGATCTGAATGAATGAAATAAATATGAAAATAATTTCCACCTGTTGTCTATTCCATTTGCACAACAGCAGGTTATATTGATTGTCAATCAGTGTTGCTTTCTAAGTGGACAGTTTGATTTCACAGAAGTTTGATTTCCTTGGAGTTATATTGTGTTGTTTGAGTGTTCCCTTTATTTTTTTGAGCAGTATATTTTACCTTTCTGTTTATATGTGATTCATTTACATTTTCATGTACATTATGCAAATTTTCTCCTCCAGCTGTCAGCGAAAACTCCCTCCCTACCCACTGTTTACCTTCACTGGCACGCATAATGTTGCTATATCCTGTCTCTGAATGTTGCTTTATGTGCAGAGGTTTTTCTGATAAGACGTTTTGCCCTCGTCCTTCCTGATGTTATCATTTTGTCTTTCTCTGAAAATAAAGGGCAACGCCTACAATGGTTTCAGCCTCAGGCACCCCGTCTTCCTTGGTTTTGTCTGTTTGTCGTCTTCTTTGGATGTGCTGTACTGGAATGAATGTTGTGCTTTGGTATGACAACAATAAAATCATTCTGATTCGGATGTGGATAAATGGGAGATGCAGTGGAACTGATTCTCAACAGCAGTGTATGTCATTTATTTGTTCTCATCATTTTTATGGGTTTGAACTTCCAGCAAGAGTTTATGTTTATACAGCCTGCATGGAGTGACTTGCTATTGTGGTTATTTATGGTGAAACATTAAAAGTGGTTTCACTAAAACAATCCTGAACTTTGTGTGATTTCACCTTCCTGCTGCTGTAACTGGGTTAATTTTTCATCGCTCATCCTCACCATTGATACCATTTGATAGTGTTTTTCTTTCTTTGTTGCTTAATACAAATGCCTGAAAGTAATGTTGGGTGATTATATCGGCTTGGTTTTATGCTGTTATTTTTGCTGACATGAGAGAAATAGGTTTCACTAAGCCTTGAATGACAAGACAGAAGCTGCTTAAGTGGTTTTGTAATAAGTGTAATGTTTGTTTTTTGCTTTTAATGAAGAAAATAACATGAAAAAACGAAATGAGACATGCATTCATGCTTATTTTTCTGACGCTTTCTTTCTTTTTGAGAACTTATTGTTGACTCATAATTTTAAGTTCCACTTCACAACTTGACTTTATGTGACAATTATAATTTACTACCAGATTTGACATCCTTTTAATATGTTTAAAAATTCTCTTGAAAAGTGGAAGTAAAAATAAACATTTTGTGCAAACTTACATTTTGCTTCTTTTTCCTCCAGCTGCCCAACGAGGAGGACAGCGAGGAGACCCCCCAGGTTGCAGCTGATGCTCCTCCTCCATACTGCAGCATCGCAACAGACAGTCCTGGTAAAATTGACTCATTTTAGGTGGATTCTCTAATGCTGAGGTGTTTTTATATCAGAAGCGTTCAGGGGAATTACATTGGCTATGGTCTGCATAGGAGCAACTTAAGAAAACAAGCCTCTACTAGATCAACTTTACCAGACAAAAATGAGTGCCACTCATTTTTTGAGTGGCTAAGGTTTCATTTTCTGTTTTATTACCTAAAACAAAAAACAAACTTTTATCATATGATTAGGACATAAATATGTACTCGTAGTACATAATTATGGTGAAATATAGAAGTGTCTTTAAGCTCTTCAGTGGTTACTATGCATGTTACATGTTAAAGGTGCCTTTAAATGTGCTGCTCTTCAGTGTATGAAATATTTTATTTACAGCCTACTTTGACTACAAGGAAGACGGGGTTTTCCCTAAGCCTCCATCCTACAACGTAGCAACGACGCTCCCTTCCTATGATGAAGCAGAAAGAACTAAAGCAGAGACCTCTGCTCCCCAGGTGACTGGAAGAGTGAGTGGTTCCTTTTTTCTTTTCTCTGTGTCATCCTGTTACTGTTAACATCGACTTACTCTAACATACACTTCAACAGAACTTTTTCTCAGAGACTTTCAGAGTTGCTTGCAAGGCAGGAAGTGTGCAGCGCTCAAGACTGAGATATTTTTATGTTCCTTTTATATCTGATTACATCTGTGGTTTGAACAAAACAGTTTCATAAGACGAGAAACTGTTGTACACGCATGTGAAAGGAAATTCAGTGATGCCTTTGGAAAAAGGAGGTTGACTAATGAATGCTTTAATGCTGAGAACTAATATGTGAGTATTATTTCTCCACGAGTAGAAGTTTATAAACAGTATTATTTGATGAAGCATCATTTGTAAAATATAACTCAGTAAAATATAATCATAAATATGTATTTTCAGCTCAAAAGTGCCTGACTTTATGTGTCTAATGGCATAGCAGCAAAATGCCAACACAAGCTTTCTTATACCAAAACAGTCTTCAAATTTTTTGACCTCAAAACATTTAAAAGAAGCAACTAACTCAGCTGAACCTGGACCTGACCAGACTGATTGTTGTCACCCTGTGTAAAGATGAGTAAAAATAACCTTAAAATAATTATTTTTTATTACAGAAGCCTCTTGAACATTTTAAATTGAGTATATTAAAAAAATCGAACAAGAAAGGACACAGCCTCCAGAATCTAATTGTTTTTTGAAAAATCATACAACAGCATTTTTTTCAGGAAAATTTAAAGGTCAGTTATTCAGAGGAGAATGTACTATTCCTCTTTGCACAATATTTTGAGATCTTTCAAAGTTCTGATGGCCTTTTGCTCATCTAGGTACAGCGACATGCTCATTGTTAAATATAGGTTTTGTGCCTGTTAAATCATTTCTGTATTAATTTGGTCATATGTTTTGGACTGTCATCCTGCTGAAAGTCCCAATAGAGGACCAGTTTGTTTTTTGGTGTTTTTATCTAAAATATCTTGGTACCTTTAACTTAGTCTTTCGTCATGTCTGACTAAAAAACACAATTCCAGTTAAATTCCCAGTAGAGTTTGGAGATTTTTTTGACGCATTCTCAAAAACCAACACGATGGTTTGATCCAGAGAGATTTCATTTTGTATAAGATAGCCTGTTTCAACTTGTAATTTTCTTTGATTGGTT